TCAAGACACCAGAGAGAGACCCACAGTCTCAGTGGGCTCCGGATCTGCAGAGGCAGAGTAAGTAACACTGAGACTCTAGTCTGTTTTGCGCAAGAGGGAACAGGTCCCACAGACTTTTGATCTCACTGTAAAGCTGGAATTAGAATTTAGACTCTCAGTTCCGGAGTCTAAAGACGTCTTAACGTGAGAATGAGACTAAGGTTTGCTTTTCTCCCTCCATGTTGCCGCTCAGACGGGTTCCTTACCTCCAAACACCCCCTCTCCGGGCGTCTCCTGGACCTGTCTCAGCACTGCTTGCGCCGGCGTCTCACACAGAGCCTTCCGGCCGCCACACTCAAGGTAACGGTGAAGTCGTCTAGACCCCAACTAGTTCAATAAAAAGATAGGAGAGATTAAAACAGGAGTGTTTGTATTCATACTGCAGCCATATAATACTGCTGTTTACATCAGCTTCCTGCTGGGTCTTCTTGTTCTCCTTACCCTCTTCCTTTGGGCCACATTCCAAAAAGGCTTTGTTTTGGATTTTCCAGATAACCTTCACCTTTTCACATTTAAGCCATAGCTTTAGCATCTCAGGAAAATGAATATTTCATCTTTCAGCATTCTACCACCTGCGTTAGAAAAACCCGTGTTAACACATGTATGAACTGTCCTAAAATGACCTGGCTTACTGTAATTTATACATTTTTATCTTGGTATTTAAAGGAAAGGGTGAACATGATTTGACTTTTCTCTCAAAATACCGACAAAGTAATGGAAGAAATAAGAAGCAAGCATGATGTTCAATAGAAATCCCAGCCAAGTTTCTATGGGACTTAATAAAATATAAAATGCATATGGAAGAAAAAAGCCCCCGAAGACCCGGGATAATCCTGGAGGGGATCGAGGGGAGGGGAGGGGAGGCGGGACTAGTCCTACCCCACATTACGACTTTCTATGGAAGGATCGTAACTACCAGTGAAATCCTGGAGCGGAGGCAGACGGACGGACAGGCAGGACAGAAGGAAGAGCTCAGAAACACATCCACCCAGGACTTCTAAAGCAAGATAGAAAAGCAGACGCTACAAAGAAGATGGATACATTTTACTGTGTCAGAATGTAAGCTGTTTGCAGTCATCAAGACGCTGTAAACAGAGTGAAAAGATAAGTCGCGGAGTGAGCCGACAGGACATGCACAGCTGATAAAGGAGCAGAATATACAAATGCATGAATAACTTCCCAAAAACTCAGTGAGGAAAAAAAAAGTAACAAAGAGAACATAGCAGAGGGTATGAAGAGGTGACTCGCAGAGGATGAAGGCTGAATGATGAATAAACACGTAAAATGTGTCCAGTCTGACTCAGACAGGGGTGTGCAAACTACCACACTGACTCGCGCGCCACCCAAGTGCCTGGCAGCGTGGGGAGCCTGACCAGCCCGAGCGCTGGCGCAGAGGCGGGCGCTCTCGTGCTGCTGATGGGAGGCGAATTGGAGCTGCCCCTCTGGAAGCGATTCGGTAGCGCCCAGCAAAGCTCACAGGAGGTGCCATCTATGGCACCTGGTCCCGCTGGTCCATTTCTAGGCTTTTCCCTTAGATTAATCCTTGCCCAAGTGCACAAGATTCACTGCGGCATTGTTTGTCATTGTGAAAAATTAAAAATGAGCTTGCTGTCCCTCAATGGAGGAATGGAGAAATTGTGGTATGGCAGAGGGAATGAGCCAGATCCATGTTTATCAAGGCTGATCGTCCTCAGAAACATACTGTGGAGGGAAAAAGAAGTGACAGGAAAACATGTGGTTGGGTACCATTTATGTAAATTTCAAAGGACCCCCAAGTGCTTTATATAGTCTGTGTGCAATACCTATGGATTAAAAGGACTCAAACATGAATGACACCTTTGTGACAGCTACCCCGGGCAAGGGGTCCTGAGCTTAGTGGGTCCCTTCTGGACTTCTCTGCTGCCTTCCTGCAAAGGCTGAGGGTTGTGCCACCGAGGACCCTCCCCTGCTCCTGCCCTCCTGCCCCTTGGCCAATCTCTGGGAGCTGGCACCTCAGGATTCCTGCTCTGAGCCTTCTTTCCAGACCACCTTCTGAGGAAGGCGCCCTGGTGGCTGCCTTGGGGAGGAAGAGAGGGGTTGGGGGACAGGATCGGAAGGCATACCAAGGGCTTCAGCTGTGCCTGTGAGCGGTAGTTCTTTGTAATAACCTAAAACAAATGTAACACGACATTTGCTCATTCTGGGGGCGGGTGGCTTTTTTTTTTTTTTTTTTTTGCTCTTTTCCTTAATACCTGATTATTAGATAGCATTTATTATGTTCTAAAAGATTTGCATGAAGCACCAAAAGGTTCCATTATTACTCAGTTTTGCAAAAACAAAAAACAAAACAAAACCCTAAATAATTTGCCCAAGGTCACTCACTGTAAGGAGCTGAAGGGGATTTGAACCCAGTAGTTCTGGCTCCAAAGGACATGATCTTAGCCACTAGCTACTCTAGGTCTACTTGTCTGAGTGCTCAGATTAAGCCTTTTTTTTTTTTTAAAGGTGACCAAAATGAAAATACCTTGACAACTATAATACGAAGAGAAATGTAGTAAAATCCCCTCAGAAGGTTCTTAGGTGCAGTTGGGGCACAGACGGTGACATTACAGGGGCAGGAAGGCAGTTGTTGGGTGGGGACAGGCTTTGGTGGGGTGGGGCCAAAGTTCATCCCAGGCCTTGCTAGGGAGGGGGCAGGGAGGGGGCAGGGAGGGGCAGGGGAGTGGGAAAGATGGGAAAGAGGGAACTGGCTTGTGCTGGCTTAGATTTACGTAAGTTCCAGGAGGATTTGAGGATTAGCAAGAAGTCCTGTTTGGCCGTCACTGGAAGGGACAAGTTGGTGAGGGACACAGGTTAGGATCTTGAAAGGGAGGGTGAGAAATGAAAAGTGAATTGGAAAGCAAGGGCAGCCATTGGTGGTCGCAGCTTAGAGGGAAGACGTGCGGAGCGCGGGCCGGACCGCAGGCCGGCGGCCGCTGCAGGAGGGGCCCCCCAGGGGCCCCAGAGGCGGAACAGAGATGGCGGACGAGGAGAGGGGGTGATACCTCTGTGTGTCTGCGTGCGTGCGTGCGTGTGTGTTGGGGGGTGGTCAAGAAGCATCCATTTATTCTGCACATATTCCCTGAGTATGTACTGTGAACCAGGAACTGTTTTAGGTGATGACAATACAGAAAGGGGCAAAACAGACTGAGCTCTCTGTCCTCGAGAAACCTGCATTCTACTGGAAGGAGGCAGAGAAGATATATAAGTAAAAATATATTGCAAGCAAAGAAATAAAAATATGCTTATGGGAGACGGTGACAGGCACTTTGGAATCAGATAAGGCAGGGGAGGGGTGTTGACTAGCAAGGGAGGCCCAGGCAGGTGACATTTGAGTGAAGGCCCCTGGAGTGAGGCTGGGACAGCTGAGAAGATCCCAAGATCCTGCATGTGGGGGCGGAGCCTTGGTTCCACCCAAAGGGAGGCCAGGAGGAGGAGCAGAGTGTGAGGGGGCGGTGTGAGCCTGAGGTCCCCGGGGATGACACAGCTGCCCCTCGCTGGGCCCCTCCTGTGTGCCCGGGCCCCTCCTGTGCTTTCGTCCTGGGAGGCCTGGGATCCTGGGGACACCCCTGCAGAGTGACCAGCATCGGCCCAGCCGCAAGTAAGCAGTCACAGTAGCTGACACGGGGAAGGGCACACATGCGCCAGGCACTTCTCTGGCACTTTGTGTCTATCGGTTCATCCAATCTTCACAGTGACCCCGGGAGGGGAGGAGCCTCCTTTGACAGACCAGGACCTGGGTGGACTACGTTGTTGTCCCGGGCCGCGAGCTGGGGAGGGGCCGCGGCAGCTCGAAGCTGGGCGGCCCAGAGTCCTTGCCCTGAAGGGAGGGACGGTGAGTCTGGGGTTAGCTTCTGGGCCTTGCTGAAAAGCAAGCTCAGGGTAGAAGGCTTTTGGAGGATAGGGTGGGGGTCTGGGAGAAGGGCTGGAGAAATTCTCAGAAGACACCCCCACAGGTAGGAGGCTCCTTCTGAGTGGGCACAGCGCCGGCTCAACGCTGTCACCACCCTGGGGAGGCCGCAGCCTAGAGGTGGTGGCAGCCTGCGTGGGGAAGGCAGCGGGTCGGAGGCTCTGGGGGAGCGAGCAAAGAAGTTTAAAAACAACTATTCAGACCAAGACACAACACCACTTCCAGGCAATTTCAGGCCAAGCGTAGGTCGGAAGGCCCTGGCGAAGGAAATCTGTCACACTCTGAACTTCAGGCCTCTGACCAAGACGCCTAACCTTTGCGGGCCGCCCAGCTGCCCTTTTGAAAAAGTTGGACACTCTGAGAAGTTGCCAAAACCGAATCCCCTGGGGTCGAGCTGTGCAATCGGTTCCCTGTTCTAGGAACGGCTGCCGGACCCAGCGCTGCGCTGAGCGACCTCCGTGCCCCGGCTGGGAAGCGGACTGGAGGGGCGACTCCGGGGCATGGGCGCTGGCCCCAGGCGCGCGTCGTTGGTTCCCTGGGATGCGCTCGGGACGGCCGAGGGGCCCAGCCCGAGGAGTCCGGGAGTAGTTGGGTAACCCTGAAACTTTCTTCCCCAGGAGCCCGACCCAGTGCGCCTGCAGAGGAGGCTGCTGGCAGGGACCGAATGGAGCTCCGCGCCAGGCCGGAGGCTGTGCCCGTCACTCGCAGTCCCAGGCCGGGTCCCCCGTGCGCGGTGGCGCTCAACCAGGCCGCGCCTCCCGGCCCCCCCACCCTCCCCCGCCCCCACCCTCCCCCGCCCCCACCCCGCGCGCCCACCCGGCCCCGTGGAGGCGCCCACCAGGGAGCACGGCCCGAGCTGCTGCAGGCGCCCCTGGGGGGGGCGGGGAGGCGGGGAGGCAAGCGGTGCGGGCGCGAGGGCCTCGGGGGCCAGAGGGACCGCGGCGGCTGGCGCGGCGCCCAGGGGCGTGAGGCGGGAGCACGGGGGAGGCGGCGGGGTAAAGTCGGCAGCCGGCGGGGCCCGCGGGTCACTCCAGCCCTGGCTGCGGGCGGGCGCGCACCATGCCCTCCTTCGACGAGGCGCTGCAGAGGGCCGGCGAGTTCGGGCGCTTCCAGCGGCGCGTGTTCCTGCTACTGTGCCTGACGGGCGTCACCTTCGCCTTCCTCTTCGTCGCCGTGGTCTTCCTGGGCAGCCGGCCCGACCACTACTGGTGCCGCGGGCCGAGCGCCGCCGCGCTGGCCGAGCGCTGCGGCTGGAGCCCCGAGGAGGAGTGGAACCGCACGGCGCCCGAGCGCCGGGGCCACGGGCACTGCCAGCGCTTCCTCCTGGAGGCGGCCAACGCCACCGCGCTCAGCTGCGCGGACCCGCTCGCCGCCTTCCCCAACCACTCGGCGCCGCTCGTGCCGTGCAGCGGCGGCTGGCGCTACGCCCAAGCCCACTCCACCGTCGTCAGCGAGGTAAGGGCGTCGGCCGCGGGGGCGCGGGCGGGGAGAGGACGGGGCTCTGCTCCGCAGCCCCGCAGACGCGGGCAGGGTGACGGCCGGCCCCTAGGGAGGTCCGTGCAGCCTGGGACCTGTTGGTGACCTGTGGGGACCGAGCAGGGTCTCTCCGCTCTTGCAAGGGCTGCGCCGTAAATGCCTGGGAAATGCCTTCGGTCCCATTTCCCTCCGCTAGTGAGTTAGTGGACAGAGGCTGGGCGTCCGGGCGACTGAAACTCAGAGGGGCCCTAAGATGCTGCGCGCGCTTCCCCTGGAAGGGAGACCTCCGGTGCCGTTATCTCAGAGGGGAGTTTGCTCACTAATAGGAAAGTAGGGTCCGCTGGCGGTAGAGACCTGCCGGCTCCCGGGGCGGGCGACACGGAGCTGGTCCCGACCGGCTCCTGGTCTACAGGGAGCAAAGGCAAGGAGAAACCAACTTGAAGGCAGCGCCACTTTCTCCAGTTGCCGGGATGATTATCTGAAATGCAAGGGGACAAAGGTCGAAGCTATGCAAGGAAATGATTTCGATAAAACTGCTTTGGGGCAAAGAGCAACATCTAAGAGAAGTTGGGAAAGCCAAGGTTTTAAATAAAGTTTTGATTTCCGCCCCCCACCCCCATCACTGGAAAGCAGCAGGAGAGGCTACCATCCTTATAAAGTGGACCCCCGCCCCGCCCCCCAACACTTCCCGGTGCTGGCTGCTGGGGCCTGTCTTCTTGGGCTTGTCTCGGCAGGCGGTGGGTCGAGGCCGCTGGCCCCTCGCCCTCCAGGGCAGGGCTGTCTGCATCGGGCTGGGGGCTGTGTGCATGTTCATCTTCCCGCCGGCCATACCTAGGGACAGCCTCCCCTGAGCCAGGCGGAGAGCCGCGCGGCTTTATTGAACTTTGTCTGTAATCACAGATCGATTAAAAAAAAAAAAAAAGATTGAATGCGCACAGGCAAATGGGGAAAGAAAAACATTTGTCTTTATATATTGACATTACTGTTTTTCAAAGCACCGCCTTGAATAGTGGGGAACCAGTGGATTCAGTGGGGGCCTCTTCTGCCTCTTGTGGTGGTTGGTGTTCTTTGGTCTGGTGGCTTCATCTGTCTAGGGGTGGGACTGCAGATCTTTGAGGCCGCACATGTTCCATGCTGCCATATGTGGGTGTGTGCGTGCCCTGTGCATGTGCTTAGGGCTCGGGAGGTACACCCCATGGCAGCCTGGCCAGGCAGTGCAGTGCGCCTGCGGGTTTGGGGTGCTTCAGTTTCTACTAAAGCTGCCAGTAATGCTGTACACCCTGCAACAGTCTTGCTGCTGGGGATTTCACAGTTGAAACGGACAAAATGGATAGGGTGTGGACTTGGGTAGGAGCCTACATTATCGCTGGTATTTCCTTCCAATTGCATTATTAGTTAGTTGCGTCTATTTCATTCAGCAGGACTCTGGGTGCTAACGTCACAGGCAAATCAGAACACTTCTCTTGGAGAGTAGACGCCTGACTTTGTGAGACATTTAAACCTCAAACAAAGTAAAATGAAGCTTAAAAGCAAAATGCACACACACGTGAGGAGTGTTTCCATGAACAGACATGATTTAGGAGCCTGAGAGAAGGGAAACACAAAATCTGTAAGTTAGGGCCTGGACAGATACTTTAGAAGCATTCTGGGATTCCAGGGTTGTTTCAAGTGTCCTGGGGTTATTTCAGGGGGAACTGGGTGGGGTTTTTTTTTTTAAAGTCAAGGGTTCTTAAAAGGGAGTGGGAAGGTGAAAGGTCAGGAAACGGGCGTCCGGTTCTGTGTCCAGAGAGCCGGATGGCTTGCGGGGATTAGCCCGCCTGGGCTTAGCTTTCCCATGTAAAATTACAGGTTGGATTAAGCCATTTATAGGTCTACAAATGCCATTGATGTCATGGGATGGCTGCTTGGTGTGCTCAGAAAAATGTTAAAAGCCTTAAAGGAAAAGTAAACAATGTCAGAACATGTTCCTTAAGGCCACTGGCAAGTTTCTGAAGTGTATTGGAGAGATTTTTTTTAAGATCCCTAGTTGTTTGCCTCTTCTGGTTGGTTTGTTCTTAATGTTTTGATTCTTAAGAGGAAGCCCCTTGTCTTCTCAGGAAGTTCAGCCATCCCGAGCAACTCATTCTCTCTGAGAGTTCTGCATGGCAAATATTTTGCTGTCTTCGGTTTAGAATATGATCCAATTCGTTTTTCTTCTTTCATATTCTGTCAGAATGATTAAAAGAACTTCAGTTCTGTCTTTGGCTAACACTATGTACCCAGTATGTTCTTAGGGACTCGAAGCTGAACATATTCATCACGGAAAGGGGGTTTATCATGTGGGAAGGCAACCAGATTCCTGAATGTCTTTGTGTGGCTATTATATCTCATCCTCGTGACACCGTGAGGGAGATTATGTTGTCCCGGATTTACGGAAGAGGTACTGAGGCAGGAGACGGGACAGGGCCTTCTGGAGGCCCACGCCCCTCTGTGGCGGAGCTGGGTTCAGGTCCAGGGGCCTCCTCCACGCGGCACTCTAAGTCCTTGGAACAAACTCAGGCAACATGCCACCCAGATCCCTCCCACTGCAGAGCCCAGGGGAAATCTCCGTGCGCGTTCCCCCCAACTTTGTTGTTATCATGGTCCCCGGCCCATGTGCCATTTTGTTGCATTTCCCGATGTCGGGAAAACAGCCTCCCAGACCAGCAGATGGAGGCTTTGCCTTTGTTTCCTGGAAATGGCTCTCTGTACTTTTGATGGGAACGTTGCAAATCGGGCACTTAAACCTCATCCACCCTCTTCTCATCTCACAAAGCGAAAACAGCACCGAGGAGTTAACGCAGAAGTCAATGCCAAGTACCCAGCCGGTTCAGTCCGGCTCCCCCACTTGCTTCTGCCGCTCAAGGCAGGGCGGTGATTTTCCATCTACGTTTAGCTTCCTCGCGCGGGCTTCCCGCCTGCATCTCACCCTTATCTGGCTGACAGCCGCTGGGCGGACGAGCTTGCTGCAATGCAGAGACTCCCGAGCCCCGCCACCCAAGTGTTCCAAGTCCTTGCCCAGGGAATGAGTCTTGGAAATTGATGTTATGGTTTTTAAATGCTTGCTTGTATATCATGGATGGAAAAAATAAAACATAAAAAAATAAAGCTTCTCTCTGGTTTCTCACTAGGAACTGGGCTTCAGGGGACCTTTAAAATAGGCCAACTCACTCATGGTTTTCCTCTGCAGCCCATTTCCCGCAACCTCCCCCCACAATCAAAGGAAAATCCGTGTGAGGGAGTAGCTGCTCTGCTGAAGAGCGCGGAGGCCGCTTCCATGGCTGGGCCGGTCTGCGTGCTCCAAGGTCTCTGCTTTGCTTCTCTCACATCCAACCCACAACAAAAAGCCAGCCGGTGGGCCAGCCCACCGACACCGGTGCCACCAGCCTCCTGTCCTCGCGGTTGGTTAGGCATGGCAGCACACACCGTGTGGGGCCGGGAGCAAGGGGTTGGGCAAGTTTGACCCCGGACTGAATCTCTGATTTGCTCTGGGCACTTTAGAAAGATCTTAACTTTTGCACTTTTATTTCTACTGTTTTTTAGCCTTCCCTGTTTTTTGCTGAATCAGCCTCACCAGGAGAACATCTGTTTTACCATTACTTCAAAGAACCAACTGTGGCGTTATTCAGGTTCTAGCTCATTAATCTCTCCTCTTTGTTCTGGGTTTGGATTTGCATCTGGTGTGCTTTCTCCAAGTTCAGTTGGACTCTCAGCTCAATTATTCCCAGGCTTTCTTCTCTTATAGTCTCAATATTTAAAGCTATAAATTTGCTTCTATGTACTTTTTTTTTTTTTTACTGCAACCAGCACGTTTTCAAATGCAGATTTTAGTTATTATTCCATCCTCTGGATTGTTAATTTCAATTATTATTGCTTCTTTGACCCATGGTTCATTTAAAGGCTTGTTTTAAATTTTCAAATGTGTATTGGTGTTTTTATCTTTTAATCGTTGACTTCTGATTTAATTTTGGTGTGGTCAGAAAATGTGGTCTGTATGATACTGCTTCTTTGAATTTTTTTAAAAGCCTGTTTTTTGGCCTTCTAAGTGGTCAATTTTTATAGACATTTTATGCATGTTTGAAATGAACATGCAATCTTTATTTGGCATGGGGTCTGTCGATGTCCAATATTTGAAGTTTGTCACTGCTGTTAAAATATTCTAGATTTTAAACAACTTTCCATTTGCTAGGTCTCTCGGGAATAATTAAAGCGTATCGAAATTTGCCATTATGTTGGTGGGCTCATCAGTTTCTCCCTATATTTCCAGCAGATTTTAGAAGTTGTATATATATGAGGCAATTTTATTGGATGCGCATATGTACAAATTTAGAATTTTTTAATCTACATAGTAAATTGAACGTTTTGTTATAGTGTAGGGACCCTATGAAATCCATGATGTATATTATCTTACTGTCTATTTTGTCTGGTATTATTATAGCTGTTCCAACCTTCTTTTAACTGACCTTGACCTTGACCTCAGCTTGGGAGGACAAGGAGGTGCCCAGGAGGAACATATGAGGAGGAGGATGTGTAGTCATCATTTTCTCTGTAGCAATTTATTAAATATCATGGCAATGGTGGGTGCTTTGCATTCCTGTGACCCACCCACAGAGACCTGGAATCAAAAGGTCAGGGCAGGGCTCAGGGACCTTCATTTTCCTCAAGCATGGGACGCCCGCGCAGGCGGCCCACGGACCACACGCGGAGACACCCTGGGTGTTCCTGATGAGGGGCCTGACGAGAGTCTCAGGAATGAAACAGCCTTGTTTGCGGTTGAAGCGGGTGCCAGATCCCCCCACACGCTCTGCAGACCTTGGGGCAGGAGCAGCGCCCCCTCTCCCGGTGCGGGAGTCCCAGACGTTACCTGATGAACTGCTGGGTTGACTCACAGGAGGCCGGGGTCCACGTCAGCTGAGGGGAAAGCCCTGTCATCGGTTGGAGGGTGCCCACGGCCGAACCAC